TACAAACTGTGTTTTTTGTATCAATGTAATTAAGTTCAAACTGAGTTAAATCGTTTTACTTTTCTCTTGACAAAACGATTGTACAAACAGAATGAATGGAAAAAAACCCACATTCACTAATTCGCCATAACTTAGTATTCTTAATGTGAATGTAAATCAAATGAAGTGAAAACAAACTTTAATTCATATAACAGACATTAGAACTAGATTTCTTTTTTCACGAAAACAAAAATGTTTATAATTAAGGTTAAATTACAATATGGCAACTAATGATCACTAAAAGTAATTAAAGCTAAGCAATATATTGACGTCCAGAATGTAGTTTACATATCGAATATTCATTAATTTCAAAATGTGTAACTTAACAATCTTCTCAACCCCGTAATGCAAATTACATGTGCTCACTGGTGACTAGCTTCGTGAGGAATCTTCGCCGAGTTCTAGTGGGAAGTCGTGAACAGTGAAGTTCAACTTGTTCGGGTGTAGACAGTAACTACAGAAGACTGTATATGAGGTTGCGCAACTCCGTGAATTGATCAAGTTAGACATTAAAACCGTTAGATACCGGCTCAGTGGTACAGAGGTTAGGCGTTTGCGCACAGTACGGAAGGTCCTAGTTTCGAATCCTCCGGGTTGCGGGAGTCGTGAATGCTCACTGTTCATGTCCCATACCAGGACGAAACGGCCATCTTTCAATGCTCCCAGGTTTCTAATGGTGTTCTAACATTGATGGACTCATGGTTTCAAAATGTATAATTAAATATATATATATATATATATATATATTAGTATGATACTTTGATGTGATTATCATATACAACTTATGATGAAAAAACTCATATAATACAGAAATTAGAGTAGATTTTGTAAAGTAAGCACAATTAGTGATACAGAGGTTTGTTTTTATTTAAAAATTTCACAAGATCGTGATGTTAATAACAACTCCATAAGATACCATTTGATTCATCAGTGGTGAAATATAAAAATTGCTATATTTTCAATTAGAGTAATGGAGATTAGTGTTTTTAAAAGGTTGAAATCATCAATCAATCATTGTTAGACCACAATTGAAAATCTGGAAGCACTGAAGGATGGCCGTTTCGTCCTGGTATGAGACTCATCGATAGTGTGCATCCACGACTCCTGCATCATGCAGGATTCGAACCCGGGACCTTCGGCATTGTGCGCGAACGCTTAACCTCTGGACCAATGGGCCGGCATCCAATCGTAGGAGTCGTGGATATGCACTGCTGATATGTCATATACCAGGACGAAACTGCTGTCCAGTGCTTCCAGATTTCCAACGGTGGTCTAACAATGATTGATTGATGATTTCAAATTTATAAAAATTGCTGACATTTCCTGTTAATTAATGACAAGTATTAAACTTATTATTTAATAATCTTTAAAAGAATTTCTAGTGAAAACTACGAGCCTCTTTGACATTCTCTGTTTATTCTGTAATTACTCCATCTAAATTTTCCCACTTATCTGTTGAACTTTATCGGGTGAAGTTAGATGCAAAACAGAAATCAAACAGGAATCGTTTTGTATAGTGATGAAAAGAAAGACTGTATTTTCTGTTTATTTGAAATTAATTTTATTCATTCTAGTAATTTCTAGTTTAGCAATATTTTCGTTAATGTGTATTTAGAGTTGTACAAATTGATTTTGTGTATGTAAACACTGCTAATTTGGCAGTGAAATTGTGTTACGTTGAATAGGAGACGAATAATTGTATTATCCGGTATATTCAATATAGAATAATTAAGTCACATGAAAAATGGATGACATTCAATGCTAAAACATAATATAGTAACCCAGTGATAAACCTTTCCGTATTTTTACTATTGATTGCTAGATAGCGATCTCATGTAAGATTCATTTTTGAAGGCGTTGTTTGTGAAAATCCCTCCATGTATATACATTTGTAATTTGTCCTCATTGATTCCTTCAGTTAAACATTTTTTTAGTCTGTTGGATTCCATTTTGAGATGGTAATATTTGTATTTTATTATAGTTTCTATTTTTTGTGCCTTTACTGAGTTTCTATGTTTCTTTCTGAATTGCATTTATGTTGTTTAAGCTGTTATTTAGTCATGGTGACAGCCTATATTGATTTGTTCCTCTTTTGATTGAGTTGCTTGCATTGACTGGAATTGTGCATTTTGATTGTGAATTAAAGCACTCTTTCAGAAGTGGAAACACTCAGTGTTATATAGCAGCCAAATATTATCTGTCAAACGAATCTGATCTATCCAGAAAGGATAGAATAACATTTATTTGTTACTGTTGATTTGACTAATTGAACAATTGTTGGTGGAATAACTGAGTGGTAATATTGTTTAGGTGATGATGTATATTTATATTTATGATAAATATTAGAATCGTCATTTACCTAAATCACTTGTTTTGCTATTAAACTAGACCAGACGCATATCTAAACTACCTTGACAGTTATTCCTCAGTTCAAACCTCAGTTTGGATCCTACATAGAATATTACCTTAGTTATACATAAACATATCTAACTGACATGGTTCAGATGAAACGAAATATCTCTCTCATATTTCATTACTATAGAATGCAATGAACTACACGTAATTCGTGTATATCTAGAATTGCACATTTTTTTTTCACTAATTTCACCGTACAAGTTTTTAACATTACCTATCGATTGTTAATGCAAACTCTATATTTCTGATTAATGACGATTGTGACTAGCAAAGAATCATGTCTGTATTTCTTCGATTATTTTTAAAAAAAAGTATACAATTTATCAGAACATTCTATGAGCTTTCTAAAAATATATGATTTTCATTTCAGCGTCAAATATGGTCTAATACGGCGGAAAACAACAGTTTATTAATCAAGACATGGAAGTACTAAGTATGGTTTAGTTGATTAATATCATGTGATAAAGTTTGCCTGTCATGATTAACTAACGGATTTCCCTAACTCAGCCTACAATTAATTGGAAAATGAAAAAAATGAGAAAAGTCAAAATAACCATACGACTGATATGATCAACCTATTTAGATAGTTTAATGATCCGGGGTCTGATTCCAGTTTGCATGAACGACTAAATATGCTATGATATAAAATCTTACATCTAATTTCAGCGTAGCATATACTCAGGTAAAACTCGTTTATGCAAAGCTCAATACAGTTTTGTGGATGAATTTATTTTATAGATTCACTTAAGCAGATAGACAATAGAAGGTCAAGCGTAAAAGTGAAGTAAAGTAACGAAGGTGGGAATGTTAATTCAGTATAATGATGAAGCATGACTAAGTATTTCTTGTCAGACAAAAATAAGTAATTTTCAATTAGAGTTATGGAGATCAGTGCTTTATACATTTGAAATCATCAATCAATCCTGGTTAGACCAGCAGTAGAAACATGGAAGCACTGGACGGCCGTTTCGTCCTGGTATGGGACTCATCAGCAGTAGACGAAACGGCCTTCTTTCAGTGCTTACAGGTTTCTGATGGTGGTCTAACAATGATTGATTGATGATTTCAAGTGTGTAAAAATAAGTAAGGCACATGATAAGTGAGGTAAGCGCAATACACATATGCATTCAAGTAAAAATACTACCAAGATATAAACCAATAATTGACAAGGTCAAAAGACGTCGGAATAGTGACTCGGAAAGAATGACCGATTAGTCTACAGCTTTATTTATATTTTCTCCATAATTTATCTACATCACATTCAATAAAAATAGTGTTGAAGGTTGTAGTAAAATTTTTGTTTATCCCAATATGTATTTTGCCAATTAAACAATTTAATCTATCTCGTAATATAATGAATTTCAACTGTGAACCTTGATAGATAATTCAGATAATTGATTACGTGACTAATTAACAATGGATTGAAGTTAACAAAAAGAAACACTTTACAGCAATAGCTTAAATAAATACTATGATTACTAAATACTCGTTGAATGTTATTAGGGATCCATGTCAAGTACCAGCTTAATTTTTTTTAAAAAACTCAACGAATGAATGTCAGTCTTTTTGACTATTCGAGGATCAAATGGTTTTGAGTCGAATTTCAAAAAGAAACTGTAATTCAGCCGATATGGGTCGATCGACCCATTATTCATCCTCATTCATGGCATTTTTCTCTTGATTTTATTTTTATTATCACAAGTAAATTGCAAGTACACTTAAAAATTTCTGTTTGTCACATAACATTGTATGCAGTTAACTGCATATTGTTAATAAGTTCGTCACTAGGTGTGCTTGAAGCTATTACGAGTTCACCTTAGTCGATAAACGCGAACGAGACAATTACTAGCGTTCAAGTAGGCTACCTTGAATCCCAAACTGGAAAACAGAAGTCTTGATAAGCGTAGAAAGTATATTCTACAAACACCCAGCCGGGACAAACAACTTTCGTTTATTTATTCATCATAGAAACATCCTTGGGACAGTCACGAAAATAGCATACTAAAATAACACATCAACCAATCACAGCCAATGATTTTCCTGGTGGGAAATGAAATCTCAATGTCAACTGATTAGCCCATGCTAGCAAACGAGAAATCTAAAATAAGGCATTTATCAAGCGAGTTCTGGGGATCTAACATCCCCAACACATAATAAGTCAGGATGTATATGTCCCAATAGAAACTTATAAATAATAGTCGCTAAAATCAGTGAAACTTTGTGAAAGCATCAGTTCTAGGATGTTCTAGGTGAATGCAATTGACAAGTCTTAAAGAGAATGTAACACGTCTTTCGAAATTCGATACAACTTATACTAAAAACATGTTTCAATACTAAAAACAAGCTACAGTTTAGCACAGAATCAGTTTATATATAAGATTTAACAAAAATATTGACATGAACCAGTTCATTATTGAGCATGAATAAGAGTTTTTCAGAAAAGTTTATTTACAAAACAAGTTTTCATGAGAATGTATGACACTTAAAGAGCAAATATTATTCATCATTAAAGATCTAATGTGATAATAAAAAACGATAAATATTACCTCAGCTTCTGGATGATCTTTCAATGCCTTCAATATATCATCACGTGCTAGAACAAATAATTCCGCATATCCAACAGCACGTACATCAGCAGTTCGTCTAAAATAATATATATATATATATATATATATATATATATATATATATATATATATATATATAAAGAGAAAGAATTTCACTTAGATCATTGTTAAAAATTTTATGTTCATAGTATGCGACTTGAATATCTTAACTTATTATGTCCATTGAGTACTTAAGTACAAGCCAATTAAAGGCTTAAAATTTCATTTTAACTCTAACTCATTTCCAAACTGTTCTCTCTCTTTAGCTGATATCAATTTATGATAATTAATTTAGTGACCAAGGATTGAAAGTAGTTTACATTTAGCCATCAAAATATTTGGTGTAAAGCCATCACCTGAATTAATTCAGCTTCGATAGTCAAATAGTATTGCTTACTGTCATAAAATAATCTGCATTTCATAGCTGTGTATCTAAATATTAAGTTACAAACAGTAACTGAATATCCATTTGTAAATTTCAATGTAAACTTTCAAAATGTAGTGAATTATTTCGTAATTTGTTCAATGGTTACGCTCATTCTAGTATCTACAGGAAACTGTTATCAATTACATCATAGTTGTGTTAGAAGAAATGTACAGCTGATATGCTTGTCATTTGATATGCTTGAACTATTACGAGTTCACCTTAGTCGGTAAACCGAGCGAAGACAAATGATGCAGTAACACGATAGGATTTTCTAATCCGTTTGTTCACGGCCCGGCAAACTATCTCAAGAAGTCTTGATAAGGGGTAGAGTGTATTCTACAAGCACATTCAGAAAATCGAGGTTTACAAGAACACAAATAAAGCTTATTTATACAATGTTAAAAACGCCTTTGGGAGAGTCACAAAAATAGCTTACTAAAATAATCCATCAACCAATGACAGTCAAGTAGTTTCGGAGTGGGAATGTAATCTCAAGGTCAACTAAGCAAATTAAGACTTTTTCCAATTGAGTTCTGGGGATTTAACGTTCTCAACAACAGCTAACAAAAACTATTAAATAACTAATGAAATTAAATACTATGGAATTTTTTTTTCTCACAGTCCATAAACAATGATTTCACTAAATATGAGAAGATATTTACGCAAGTACTTCATTAAAACAAACGTAAATAAACTATTTTATGTTATCAGTAAGATGTTGTGGAGATTGTTGAGTTATATGTTACACCACCATTAGAAACCTGGAAGCACTGAAAGACGGCCGTTTCGTCCGGATATGGGACTCATCAATAGTATGCATCCACAACTGTCGCCATTCATAGGAGCCCGAACCCATGACTTTCAGTCTTGTGCGCGGGAGCTTAACGTCTGGACCACTGAACCAGCATCTAACGTTGTTATTGTATAACTTCGATCAATTCACGGTCTTGCGTAACCTCATCCGCTGTCTTTGATGATTACTGCTCCACATCGAAACCAGGTTGAACTCCACTGGTCATGGGCGCAAAACCAAACGTTTTCGGTCTGATTCCTGTAGAAAGAGACAGTCAGACATGCACATTGCTGTTGGATCCCATACCAGGATAAAACGGCTGTCGAGTGCTTCCAGTGCTTTCTAATAATGGTTTAACATTTGAAATTACTAGGAAGAAATTTTTCTACCAAAAATACCAAATAATTCATACAAAATAAATTCAATTTACCTATTTATTCCATCTAAATTTAATACCCCAATTTCACCGAAAAAATCACCTGGACCCATTGTAGAAAGCACTTCATTTTCTTCACTATTAAAAAAAGGCAAGCAAACCAAGCAAAGCGAAGAGACAGTCGATTTTTTCTAAAAAAACAAACTTTAGGATCAATGAAATGTAACAAATATGTGTATTTTTTATTTCTAAAAATATGAAATATTTGAGACAAGGAAACAGTTGAATAATAATTTTAATTATATACTATTCGAATAAAGATTTAGCAGTACATAGATCTTATCTGTTTTCACTGAATTCTATATATAACTTGAGAACAGATTATATTACCTAACAGTGTACTTTGTTAGAACTAGGACAATTTTCGACAATATATATATGTATATATTCAAATAACTTGTAACGGTTTTTTTGAAACCAGTCAAAAATAAAGAGTTTACATATTTTTTTAAGATCTTTCATGCTGAACACTAAAGGCGTATAACATTTGAGTAGTTTTGATCATAAAAAAAAAGTTAATTAACAGGTAACATCGAAAGGAATTTTGATTGATTATTTCCCTGAAAGTTGTAATATTTGAGTTGTATGCATCAGTCGAAATATGGGAAGTTCATTTTTTTCGATTTCCTACAAACTGTCATTCATATATCTGACTTGCAATCAGTATGTGATTAAGAATGAATTCCATGTCAGACTACCTGTTCAAATTGTTAGAAAATAGAATTAAACTACTATAAAGGTCTATGGTGTTCATTGATGATAAAACTATCATCTGTTTGGGATTTAAATCCTGTTACGCCAGCACGTAAACACGTCAACTTGATATTCTTGAACTAATAACGAGTTTACTTAGTCGGAAACGCGAGAGCGAGGATCGAGAATCCGGCGACACGACATGCTACTCTAATCCGATTATTCCAATCCAAATATTAAGTAAAAGAAGACAAGACATGATATGAAGTAGAACCTGTATTCTACAAGCATTCAGAAAGTACGAGGTCCGAATACAGAAGAGAATCAGGATCCCGGACTAGGGATCCGGGAGCGAGCCCTGATCCTGGTCGTGGTCGTGATCATAAAACGTTACAGATCATGCGTACTTATACAATTTGGTCGAATAGGAAACAGCATCGAAGTGTGTGACATTGACAGTTAAGACGACCAATAGAAACAACATTGGAGCAAGTGACATTGATATCTAGGACGATCATAAAATTGACCAGTAGGAATTAACCAATAGGAATTGACCAATAGTTGGATGAATATCCTAACAAATCCTCATCGTATTGTTCAGTCATTATAGAAGTAAATGACAGGTTGATTTTAAGTTTTTACTAAATATTCTAGCTTATTCGTGATAAAATAGGTTCAAACGATTTGAAAACTTCACGTTATTCACTCCGCTTCTTTCCACTTACTTTACTCTGCCTGCACCCCGAGCATACAAGGTATCTATCTCCTGCCTTGATACAAACGGCCGAAAGGTATTTCAATCACAGAGCTACTTATTAATTACTTACTTAATTAAGCCCATTCTCCCCGAATAGGAGCAGCATTCTCCAACATAATCTGTTCTACCCCTTCTCTTCCAGTTTTACCCAATTGCTGTTCAGATTTTCGATATCTCCTTCCGATTCTCAACGTGTGTTCCTTTGTCTTCCTCTTCTACTCTGGCCTTAAGGATTCCAAGTAGGGGCTTGCCTCGTGAAGCAGTTGATTGCTTCCCTTTTTAAGTGTCCTATTCGCTTCCAGAGCTTTTATCTGAATTCTTTTGGAGATGAGATATGGTTCGTTCTCTATCACAGTAGGTTGTTACCGATGGCCAACAGATCTACAGTATCTTGGGTAGACAACTGTTAATAAACACTTGTATCTATCGGATGATGGCTGGCGTGGTTCTCCAAATTTCAGCTAAATAAAATAGAACTGTCTTGACAGCTCTTTTAAAGGTTCTGACTTTGGTGTTGACTAATAGACAGCTGTTTTGAGTTCCAGATGTTCAGCAAATTTAAAAATGCTTCCCTTAATTTAACAATCGGCGTCTTTACATTTGCAGTAGATCCATCTTGCTCATCAATCATGCTGCCCAGATATGCTAAGGTTTCTACATCCTCCAAATTTTCTCCATCAAGGATGATTTGGTTCGTGTACCTTCTGTTTTATCAGAGGATCTTGCTTTTCCCTTGTGTATGTTGACACCTGTGGCTAAAGTAGCCGTTGTTAGACCGGCAGTCTATTCCCGCATTTGTTGTTGTGTGAGCACTTTATTATGTGCTTCCCTCAGATGTTGACCTCTTTATAATCCAATCAATCACCAGGAGAAAGAGATTGAATGAGAGTAAAAAGCCTTTTCTGATACTGGTCTTTACTTTGAACGAGTCTGTGAGCTGGCCTCTGTACACGATTTTTCAGTTTAGTCCATGATAAAAATTCCGTATGATGTTGACTATCTTCTAAGGCACGCCGTAATGTCGAAGAAGCCTTTATAATGTTGTCCTCTTCACACTATCAAGTGTTTTTCGTAGTCAGTATATTTGATATATATATATATATATATATAGTGAATTTAATTCAATCGCTTGTTTCACAATGATCTGTAATGTCACATTTTGGACGGTACATGATCAATCCTTACGGAAGCCAGCTTGCTGAGATCGCCTTTCTTCGGTATTTTGATGAGGTATCCTTCTTTCCAGTCTGATGGTACTTGTTCCTCATCCCAAATCTTGTTGAAGAGAATGTGAGGTAATTTTGCAGTTGCTGCCAAGTCTGCTTTCGCAGTCTGTGCTAGGATGTTGTCTGGTCCCGCTGATTTGCCGGCCTTTATGTGTATGATGGGCATACTGATCGCTTCAACTGTTGGTGGATCAACATCCTTTAGGTCTGCAGGAGCTGCTTCAACATAGGAGAGTTTCAGTGGAGCTGATCGATTCAAGAGTTTCGAAAGTTCTCTACTCACCTATTTCGATGTTCTTCAATATCGGTGATTAATTTTCCGTGCTTCTTTTTGACTGGTCGTTCTGGTTTACGATAATTTTTCAGCGAGTTTCTTCATTGAATCATGTAGATGTCTCATAGTTCATTCTATTTCAGCTTTTTCCGCTATCGTTGGTAGATTTCCCACATATTTACATTTGTCGGCTCTGATGCTCCTCTTCACTTGCTTGTTTACTTCTGCGTAATGAGCTTTTGCCTTAACTTTCTCTGCTCTTTTTCAGCTGCTATTGATTGCTGCCTTCATGTTCATCCATTCTTAAATCTTATCCTGAGTACCAATAGAGATCCATGATCTAGTGATCACCATACACACAGGGTTTATTTATAATCAAATTTTTTTTTAAAAAACAGTCCTCTATCCAAATTTTAAAATTAAATATCTTGTCAAACAACCTTCAAAATTGTTACATTATTCTAGAGTTATTTCGTTTACAACTGACATTCTCAATCATCATGTACTAACTACACTTAGACGTACCGAATTGTTTATAAATTTAAATTATATTCAACATTTTTGTCCAATATTCAATCAGTTTTTATTCAATGTTTTTTTTCATTTGGCTTTTGATCAAGTCAAACACGTGGTATTGAGATTTTTATTCAACTATTTTATATATACTACTATTATTCATAATAATAAATAAATAAATATAATTTGTTAATTAATTACTCCAGTCTAGTTATTTCAGACATTTAATATAAACATTGGTGCAGTTTTTGAGTGAGTGAATGAGTGAGTGATTGAGTTAGCGATGATAATCACGAGATTAATCAGTTATAGTTTATATTAAATTGCAATTCACATAGACGTGACATTATTGCGTACCTAGTAAACTACTGCAAACTGAAGCTGTTTTTGTCAATTCAAGTAAATAAATAATCTGTCAGAAAACCAAATTTCCATAGTATTTTATGACATCACTGTCAAGTTTTAGAATATCAACGAGCCGATACGATGAATGTACCACTAAGAGCTTGTTCGATACGAAATTATGGTAACTGTTCGTCGTTGCGGATGGCGTTCAGATAATACAGGTCCTCATGTTGTCACGAACAGCGTTGCCTGCCAACTCGAGAACTTCAGTCGCTAGGTATTCAAGGATAGCTGCCAGGTAGACAGGGGCAACAGAACCGACACCTTCATCATAATTGGACTTGTGAAGAAGAAGATGGACACGACAAACCAGGAACTGAAGGCCAACAAGGGCTGACCAGTTTTTTGTCTAAGTGCGAAAATTTCCATCTTTATCACTTCCACCCAATGTCGGTTAGATCTGAGACACGTGACATGATATGATAAGGCATAGAATAAATCCAATATTTAGATCTTAGTTACACTGTTTGTTTTTTGTAAGAAACCTACGTAATGCATAAATTTCAGTCATTTAATGATGAAATGACACGCAGTCATGTTTATTAGGCATTAGATAAGTAGAATGCTTACTATTTGTACTTGGCCTTTTTGAGTGGCTATGACGGCATTTCGAACTCCTGAGTAGTTATCGCACAAATAAAATATTATTAGGCATCGTTCAACTATGTGTGGGTGTGTATGTTAGGATATTCACCAAATATCCTAAGAGGATTATTTGTAAATCTAATTAGTCAATTCCTATTGATCGTCCTAACTGTTAATATCACATGCTTCAATGTTGTTTCCGATTCGACCTAACTGTATAAATACGCATTATCTGTGACGTTTTATGAGTCGGGCCAGGATTCCTGGTCGGGGATCCTGATTCTCATTTGGACTTGGACCTCGTACTTTCTGGATGCTGTGTAGAATACATTTTCTGCTTCACGTCAAGTATTCTTCTTTACTCAATGGGCTTTGGGACGCTCGGATTTGAGTAGCATGTCGTGTAGCCGGATCCTTTATCCTCACTCTCGTTTTCCGACTAAAGTAAACTCGTTATTAGTTCAAGATTATCAAATAATGTGTTTGCGTGCGTACGTTATAGTGTACAAATACGTTGTTCCAACAGAGATTTTCCCAGCTTTTGGACAAATTAATTAACCTATTATTCTCGGGTTATTATTCACCTATCTTTCGACTTTGTGAACTATTCACTTATACCTTAGTTGTACTTTTTTGAGTAAGCGTGCGAACGCTTACTTTGCTTATTACAATGTCGAGCTGACCATAACTACTTATTCATGCCTCATCGCATGGAGTTTGCTCACTCGCCTTCTTCACTTTGCTTCACTTTGCTTGTACGCTTTTCATTCTCATGTTTGTCTGCATGAACGATAGCATGATGTAAATTCATCCAGTTCATTCCGCATTCGGCTTCTTATTACCGCAGTCGTAAAAAAGGGACTCGCCAAAGTATGATTAATGGAAATTAAAGGGAAGATTTATTTCATAGCCTATTTAATTTGTTCATAAATATCGGGATCAGATCGCGGGTGATCCAAGTGGCGAGCGCTACTTCGAATTTCAACGCACCCATTGAATGATCTGTGGATCATCTATACATCCATAACCTATGATATAATTAAGTACAGCTAACCAATCAATGAGTCAAATTTCCCATTACAACTGTTCAGGTTGGGATCATGTTAGGATATTCACCCAATATCCTAAGAGAATTATTGATCAACTTCAATCGGTCAATTTTATGATCGTCCTAGATATCAATGTCACGTACTTCATTGTTGTTTCTTATTGGTTGACCTGACTATCAATGTCACTTCAAATGTTTCTTCCTACTAGTCGCCTTAAATGCCAATGTTACAGACTTCGATGCTGTTTCTTATTCGACCTAAATGTATAAATACATACTATCCGGGATCCTGATTCTCTTCTGGACTCGGACCTCGTACTTTCTGAATGCTTGTAGAATACAGGTTCTACTTCACATCAAGTCTTCTTTTATTCTGTGGGGTTTTGGACACTCAAATTAGAGTAGCATGTCGTGTCGCCGGATCCTCGCTCTGGCGTTTCCGACTAGGTAAACTCGTAATAGTTCAAACGTATCAAATGACGTGTTTACGTGCAGGTGTAACAGATCTTTAATTACTCAATAAACTAGAATGAATATGTATAGATCTATACCTTTCAATAAAGAACTCAACTTCAACTGTCAATATTAACTGTTTACGTAATTGATCATTTCTTTATTAATACAATAGTATTAAAATTAAATCCATAGTAAATAAGCGTATATTATCCACTGAAATATTTATTTCAACTGACCAATAGGTTCACTCTCTATTTACATTGATCATATTTGTTAAGTTTTATCTGACCAGAATCAAAAGATTTTCTTTTGATTATAACCGAAATACAGATAATAATTGACAAATATGTAAAATTAAACAGTTTTAATTAACGAATTTGCATTTTCATGGCAAAGAGTTTAATTTTTTCATGACAGTTTGCTTGAAAAAGTAATAAGAATAATCTAGACAAGTTTTTCTGTTTTTTTGGTTATTGTAATCGGACTAAAAGATGTTGAGTTTTTTATTTCTCAAAAAAAATTATTTGTTTATTAGATGACATTCAAATAATTTTGACCGCAATCATGATAATATTATTTTTCTTAAGAATAAATAACATTTTATTCTTCATTATGGATATTCTTAATTAGTTCGGTGAAAATGAATGAAGAAATTCGGTATTTGACTATCTAATTATAGTTTTTTATGAAGTCAACAATTATCTTTAGTTATAATATTAATCTATCTATCTATCTATCAAAAAATAAATAAGGAATCAAAACGACAGAGATGACCTTTAAGATTTGAATTTTAAATAAATTGAGATTAATTTGTCGGATTTATGGAAATTTTAACGTACATGATTAAAAAAAGATGAATGCAGTTAAACAAAGAATTAGGCTTAAATAAAATACACATTTGAAATCATCAATCAATCATTGTTAAACCACCATTAGAAACCTGGAAGCACTGGATGGCTGTTTCGTCCTGGTATGGGACTCATCAGCAGTGCGCATCCACGACTCATGCACCTCGCAGAATTCGAACCCGGTGTGGTGCTGTGTTGCGAACTACTTATAAGTAGTATATAGCGTGAGTGTCAACGTAAAGTCTGGTAGCATAATATGGGGGGAAGATCAAGAAAGGAAGAGTCAGAAAACAATGGAATTTGTATGAAACGCATGAAGAGTGACAATGGATTGATGTTTGGCAACAGGAACAGTCCAGTTCCATAGTATGAACTGATCTTTTGCAAATGAACGATTTACGATATGGTTTTCCGATTTTACTGACTAACTCTGTAATTTTCGTTAAATACAATTCGGTTGCCCCCACCTGTGTTCTCATTCACTACACCGGGACCTTCGACATTGTAGGCGAACGCCTAAACTCTGGACCACTGGGCCAGCATCCAATGGTGTTATTGTCTAACTCTGATTGATCTAGGGATTTTGTGCGACCTCACCCATTTGTCTTTGGTAGTTACTACCTACACCCGACAGGGTTGAACTCGATTGGTCACGTCTTCTCAACTAGAACTCCGAGAATCTCCTCACGAAGCTAGTCACTAATGAGCACTGTTACGATATTTTGGGGCAGAGTTTTGGAGGCTTGTGTTTTTTACATATTTGAAATCATCAATCAGTCATTGTTAGACCACTATTAGAAACCTGGAAGCACTGGACGGCCGTTTCGTCCTGGTATGGGATTCATCAGCAGTGGTCTAACAATGATTGATTGATGATTTCAAATGTGTAAAAACGCAAACCTCCAAAACCCTGCCCTTAAATAACATAAATGCATTTTGTATGTGTGTGTCTCCCCGCACTAATATATATAAATGTACATGTCTTTATCCTAATGTAAATTCAACAATATATATTGACTTCGGTAGTTTAATTCAAACACTATTATGATTTCTATGTAAATTTATTTATTATACGTCTATAATAAACAAAATGCCACTATTATTGTTAATATATATGTATATACATTTTTTTTTTCAAATAAAACCGCCAAAATCATGTGTGCTGTTCAATATACAATATAATTTTTATAATTTCTATTGAATATTGAATATTTTACAAATAACATGATTCATTTCATATAAACTAAGTTGATTATTGTCATGAGTAAAAAAATATTATCATAAACATAATAATGAATAATAATAATAATAATTAAAAAAAAAAAAACAAATTTCATATTTACCTTAATACTTCAAGTACTCCATCGGCAATAATAAACATTTCACGTGCTATTTCACCTTTACGACATATTAAATCACCAGGTGTTAAAACTAATGGACGCATTTTCAATACAATATCATGTAAAAATTCCGGTCTACATTCATGAAATATTGTCACCTTTATTCAAAGAATAAAACAAAGAAGAAAAAAAATACAGAAAATCATTAGACATTGTATTTGAGAGAAAAAAACAAAAAGAAACTATAATATTTTTATAAAAATTCACAAAAATGTTTACCAGATAGATTTATGAGGTTTTTTCAATAAGAGCTATGGAGATCAGTGATTTTACACGATTGAAATAATCAATCAGTCTTTGTTAGACCACTGTTTGGAAGCCTGGAAGCGCTGGATGGCCGTTTCGTCCTGGTATGTGACTCATCAGAAGTGCGCATCCACGACACCTGCACCTCGCAGGATTCGAACCCAGGACTTTAGGTCTTGCATGCGAACGCCTAACTTATGGACCACTGGACCGATACTCAACGGTGCTAATGTTAATTATGGGGAGTTATATTTAGTTGAAATGCTTTAATGACTATACTAATTGACATGAACTAACATCAATTTAAGCTATTTAGAGTAGTGTTCAAGTGAACGCTTGAACTGTAGACGTCAGTGTATCTATAATCGCCAGATACCGGAATAGACCAATAAAATATCAAATTATTAGATTGGAATTATTTATGACTTAACTTTGATCTAACTTTATTTTCAATTTTTCATTTTTTATCGCATGGCTTATAAGTTGAGTAATAAGGAAATGACATGACAGTTTTAGATGTCAAACTTAGAACAGTCCATATAAGTGAACAATATAAGTTTCGAGTAGATTATCAGCAGGCTTTCATTTAATATACGTGAATATTTCAATGAAAATGTTGATCCAATCAAAGCGATTTCGGAGACAGTAATCACATTGAAGTAACACATTATGTAACGATACACAAAAGGTAAAAGTACAAGATGATAGTAGGAAAATAGGTGTATGGTTGGTGGCATGAAGCGTAAAAGGGTTTTGTCAGTAGTTCAACATTCAAAGTAGTAGTGTGGTGCGAGCTACTTATAAGTAGTATATGACGTGACCGTCAACGTAATGTCTGGCAGCAGAAGATGGAGGAAGATCAAGAAAGGAAGAGTTAGAAAACAATAGAATTTGTATGAAACGCATGAATAGTGACAATGGATTGATGTTTTGCAACAGGAACAGTTCAGTTCGATATGATGAACTGATATTTTGCAAATTAACCGTTTACGATATGGTTTTCCAATTTCACTGAGTGACTCTGTAATTTTCGTTAAATAAAATCCGGTTGCCCCAACTGTGTTCTCATTCACTACAGTAGTACCTCAAACGTAGATAAATAGACTTAAAACAATTAGTCCCTTCTTTGAGTTTTGATAGAACGATCAGAAAACTTAGTTGATCTGAGAATGTGATGTATTTGCGCTATATATTTCAAATAACCTGGTCATACACATACTTGTCAAGGCATTTTATGTGAAAATTAATAAAAGTTCAATTCAATAAAACTTCAAATAAGCATAAGGCGGTAACTGTAAATAAAGGATAGAGAAAATCAACATAGTATAGAAAGAATATGACATTATTAAATAGTAGTGCCTCCACGCACATTTGAGTTCGCTTATATTTGATTTGGTTAAACCTTTCGATTAATTTATTTAACCAAGCCACTTATACGTACCATTGGTTTTTACTATTGTCTGGTTTGTATGAGCTGGTACAACTGAACATTGCTTACAACCTACTTGCAAATTCATCCTATTCGCTTTAATGTCAATCTCTTAAATATCTCGATGACTCGACATTCCCCTATGTATATAAATGAACATTTTAATCTTATTAATACATTCACCAATTTGCCAATCCGCTTCTGATTGTGCTTGCCCTGCTCTGTGTGTTTTTGATCTGCTGGTCCATTTTGTGGTGTGTTAAAAATAAACGTATTCAACCCATCGTGTTTGCTTTTGATATATATATATATATACATATCGATAGTTTTAAATGTCGAAGAGTATAAATTTATTCACTCAGATTCAACTGGGAATTATTGTAGTTATTTTTAGATTATTAAACTGAATATTAATTAAGATTACCAACTAATTAAATAAAATTGAAAAAGAAATTCAATTTTTTACTATGCAGTAGTCTATAAGACATTGGTCGTTGTTATCATATGATCGCCTAATCATATGTAAATTTCTTAATCCCTGACGCCATTTGAAACCAATGAGAATATGTCAGTCAACGCTAAATAATGATACATATATTGTATTTGGTAATGATGAAATATCTTTAATGATTAGGATTTAAAGATATGATATTAATTCTGCAAAATATCTATTCATTTACACATTTCAAATGTGTAAAAAAGCACTAATCTCCATAACTCTAAATATGCGCATACTAGTGACTAGCTTCGCGAGGAAATTCTCGGGGGTTTAGTGAGAAGACGTGACCGTTAGCGTTCAACCCTGTCCAGTGTAGGCAGTAACTACCAAAGACAAATGGTTGAGGTCACATAAAATCCCTAGATCAATCAAAGTTTGACATTACCACCGTTGGATGCGGGCTCAATGGTCCAGAGGTTAGGCGTTCGTGAGCATGACCGAAGGTCATGGGTTCGAATCCTGTGGGACACAGGTGTCGTGGATGCGCACTGCCACTGATGAGTTCCATACCAGAACGAAACTGCCGTCCAGCACTTCCAGGTTCCTAATGGTGGTGGTCTAACAATGATTGACTGATGGACGATTTCAAATGTGTAAAAACTAATTATCTCCATAACTGTATTTGAGAACATTTTTTTTCATTTTACTGATACATTGAAATTAAACCTTAAAACATTTCAGTGATCCATTATCGATCAGTAATCTGTTGTAGAATGAGTGGAAGTAATTGTTTAAACGTATGCTATAAAGTAATTTATTTTATCTGAATGTCTATCCCAAATTGTATACTTCTAATTGTTGTAAAATCGTTTGCGAAAAAAATTGTTTTAACAAGACGAAACCACAAAATATATAATTAAAATAACGGTAAATACCACATTTCGTTATCAAAGAATAATTAATTAATTAACGAAAATTTCTACAGGAAATTGATAGTCATATGATATGATAAAACGCATAAATGAATCAGTTTCACTAAAACGTCGTCAAAATGATGTAGGTGAATAAAAATCACAGAATTTTGAATTTTTACACAGGTGTTTTATAAGAAAAAAATCTTTGTGGAAGATTGCTTTCATTCAGTTCTTTATGGATATTTATGTACTTACTAAAATTAAGCATTAGGTATACATACAGCATCTGTTCATATTGTTTCAACTTGTGATTTCGTACTGTTCAACCTTGTTTTCTGTAAAATTATAAAGTGAACGTTTATCTGTATCACTTGGATTTAAAGTATTTTCATCATTTTGTTACGCTTGTTTCTAGGTATGGTTAAAACTATTACGGGTTCACCTCGGTCGAATAATGAGAACAAAACAATGAACCCGCGTCAAAGGAGGCTACTCTTAACCCTTAACATAAATGTACTAACGAAGAGTCTTGATATAGTCAGGCGGGTGTCCTATGGTGAGCTCAGTAAGTGAGTCTTGATATAACGTAGAAAGTGTATTCTACAAACACCCAGCCAGCACACAAAGAATCCAAGCACACAAATCGCGTTCATTTATACACCACAATATAGCACACTAAAATGACACAGTAATCAATCACAGCTAAGAATTTTCCTGGTGTGAAATATGATCTCAAGGCCAGCTGATCAGTCCATAAAATAAATTCAAAATAAAGACATTTATCAAGCGAGTTCTGGGGATCTAACTTCCTCAACACCTTTCTATAAGAGTCTAGTACAGTGTTCTTACAATTTCAATTATTGAAGGAGTCTATTGTTTGAATGTGATGTATATATGGACAAGCTTCGAAATGTACTCTTGTTTAATTGATGTATTTGTATGTGAGTAATAACTATGAAATTGCAGAACATTTCAAAATTATAAAATCAACTGAATTCGGTTATTAATTTTGCGAACATGTAGAAGATAAGTTTAACTGATCACTTGATAATAATTAAAAATATAGATTGAAAGTAGTCTCAGTATTTTACGCATTCAGTACAGTACAACTTTAAGGTTACAAAACGTGGATTCATACGTGTTCATAACTCCTTCGCAGTGTGGACTGTTGACAAAACACAGAATCAACCTCAAGACCTTGAACAAACTTGGTTTATTCGATATCAAATTACACAAATTACTTAACCTCAGCGATCTGATAGTATCATAACATCAGTATCTAATGTTATCGGTTTTCAACGAGGTATCGTTAAACAGAATGAAAGATTTTGTAGACGCCCAACTTTGAGATCAACAGGCTGGTTTTCGTACACGCACCAACCAAATCACTCTTAATGGAGATGCCTTGGAGGACGTTAACACATTTACATATCTGGGCAGCATCATCGAAGAGAAAGGTGGATTCGATGTAGATGTGAGGGTGCGGTTCGGCAAAGCAAGGGCTTCATTTCTACAGTTGAAAAATATCTGGAACTCAAAACAAATTTCAACCAAAACCAAAATAACGATTTTCAATAAATATGTCAAGAAGGTTCTACTGTATGGAGTGGAAACTTGGAGAACTACCGAAACCATCATCCAGAAGATACAAGTATTCATTAACAGTTTTCTACACAACATACTTGGGATTTATTGGCCAGACACCATCTGCAAGAACGAACTGTGGGAGAGAACAAACCAGATTCCAGTGAAGGAGGAAATCAGGAAGAAGTGGTGGAAGTGGATAGGACACACACTACGAAAAGCATCTAACTGCGTTACAAGACAAGCCCTCACTTGGAACCCTCAAGGTGAAAGGAAAAGAGGAAGGCCAAGGAACACATTACGCTGAGAAATAGAGAAAGATATGAGAGGAATGAACAGCGATTGAACAGAACTGGAATGGGAAGCTCAGGACAGAATTGTTTGGAGAAAACGGGTGGGTGGCCTCTGCTCCATTGGGGGTAACAGGCGTAAGTAAGTAAGTAAGTAATGTTGTCGATTGAAAACTATGTAAAGTAGACTGTACTATAAGTCAAATTCAACCTACACTGAAGTATACTAAACTGATGAAAGAGTTATCATTATATTCTGTTAGATTTTCACAAGTTTCATAGTTGATGTCTAAACATCATGAAAATTTTTTTTAGATTGGAAAGTTTTATGTGAAGTAATAAATAAGTAATGAAAGGAAAAAAATGAAAAAAATATTTACCAACAACACAAATAAAATAAAATAAATCAAATTACCTTTTTCAATGTTTCCAAATTTACATTCAGTGCAAGTTCAGTTTTTAATTTATCTGGTAACATTCCCAATGAATTAATATCTTGACCACCTCGTCCACTTCCTCTGATACATAAAAAAATTATAACAATGGATATATACATGTGTAGTGTATGGGATTATATCTATTGAAATAAAAATGTTCATGCTGAATGTATACATAATATGTAAGAATTATACTTGTTTTCAAAATATATCACTGTTGAAATGTTTAGTTCTTATTGTTGTTACATTCGTCCCTAGGTATGCTTAAAACTATTATGGGTTTACCTTAGTCAAATAACGAGAACAAAACAATGAACCAGAATCCAGGTAGGCTACTCTGATCCCTAGTAAGAAGTCTTGATAAAGCGTAGAAAGTGTATTCTACAAAACATCCAGTCAGCACACAATGAATCCAAGCACACAAACGTCGTTTATTTATATTCCATAGAGACATCCTTGGGAGAGTTACAAAATAGCCCACTAAAATAACATAGTAATCAATCACAGCCAAGGATTCTCCTGGTGGGAAATGTGATTTCAAGGTCAACTGACCAGCATATGAAGTAAATCCGAAATAAAGACACATTTGTCAAGCCAGTTCTGGGAATTTAACATCCCCAACAATTCTTATAATTAATTATTTTGGAATTCATGTCCTGCAAACATAAAATGAATAATTTAACCTTGGACGTATAAATTATACTAGTTATTGGCGTATAAAATAAAAAACTCTGATTATATAATTCTTTCATCAAAGCTTTATTTCAAATATACACAACTACTTTCTGCAGTCGCTTATAACTTAGTAGTTTTAACGTTAAAGTTGTACTGGAGAGTATTTGGTTAAAAAACGTATTAAATAATGAAACTTGAATGAATTTTCAACAGAGAACCGTTAATTTCGGTGTAGGTTGAATCTGTATTAGGAATATAAAGCATTAGTGGTGATCGACATTTTGCACCGTGTCATGCTGTTTATGAATGCATAACAGACATATTTATATCAATTATGAGCACCTTAAGCATCTGATTCAATTCTAAACTAGTTCTCATTCCGTTAAGAATTTTATGCAAAAAGAAAAGGATAGTAATCTGGAATCTGATTAGTTTGTGCTACAGCATTATTTACTTACTTACGCCTGTTACCCCCAATGGAGCACAGGCCACCCACCAATTTTTTTCGATAAACTCTTTCCTGGGCTTCCCTTTCTAGTTCTTTCAAGTTTTTGTTCATTCTTCTCATATCTTTCACTATTTCTCGGAGTAATATATTCCTTAGCCTTCCTCTTTTCCTTTTACCTCGAGGGTTCCAAGTGAGGGCTTGTCTTGTGACGCAGTTACGTGATTTTCGTAGTGTGTGTCCTATCCACTTCCACCGCTTCTTCCTCATTTCCTCCTCTACTGAAATCTGGTTTGTTCTCTCCCACAGTTCGTTGTTGCTGATGGTGTCCGGCAAATAAATCCCAAGTATGTTGCGTAGAAAACTGTTATTCAATACTTGTATCTTCTGGATGATGGTTTTGGTAGTTCTCAAAGTTTCCACTCCATTCAGTATTGTATTGAAAATCGTTATTTTGGTTTTGGTTGAAATTTGTTTGGAGTTCCAGATATTCTTCAACTGTAGAAATGCAGCCCTTGCTTTGCCAATCCGTGCCCTCATATCTGCATCGGATTCACCTTTCTCGTCGATGATGCTGCCAAGATATGTAAAAGTGTTAACGTCCCCCAAGGCATCTCCATGAAGAGTGATTTGGTTGGTGCATGTTGTGTTGCATTGGAGAATTTCGTTTTTTCCTTTATGTATGTTGAGACCTACTGCTGCTACATTGGTTGTCTTCGCTTGCATTTGTTACTTTGTGTAAACTCATTAACCTCAATCTACGAACCATTAGCTCAAATCCTATTTTTCCCTTACATTTCTACCATCATCTTCATCAGTGACGAAGTAACCCTGAATTCTGGAACTGTATAAACCAACTTTGATCAGACAATAGATTACTAAAATTTTATTTTAAAAATTTTTAACAAACTTACTTTGACCATGCATAATCATACCAGCGAAGGATTCGATTTTGTAAATCTTTATTCACTGAATTTTCACGCATATAACTTTTAGCATTATCCTTTTTGTATAAAAACAAGTAGAAATAACATTAGATGAAATTTGATATTAAAACGAACATAATTAACATTAAATTCACATACTTATCATTAATCAAACTGTCTGAGACATGTTTCAACTGAGCAATACATCGTTTATGTGCACGAAGATAATGGTTATGGTAAAAACTGAGGAAAGTTCAAGAATTAGGCTTACTGCGAATTGACTTATTGGCTAGAAGTGGGCCTTAGTTTAAAAATGAACGGCCATAGAAGTCAGTGTTGTTTCTTAGTTTTGATCAAGTTATGTTTCGTCAGTGGGCTTCTAGGATATTTTATTGTATGAAACATTATCAGGATTCAATCTGTTGGGGATGTTAGATCCCCAAAACTCGCTGCATCAAGGCCTCATTTTGGTTTTCACGTTCGGCAGCATAGGCTGATCAGCTGACATTGAGATTTCATTTCCCACCAGGAAGATCCTTGACTGTGATTGGCTGCTGTGTATTTTAGTGTGCTATTTTTGCGACTGTCCTAAGGACGTTTCTATGATGTATAAATAAACGAGCGTTGTATGCTTGATTGTATTGTGCTTGCTGGGTGTTTGTAGAATATACTTTCTACGCTTACAAAGACTTCAGTTACAGCTTTGTATTCAAGGTAGCCTGCCTGGACTCTGGTAATTGTCTCGTTTGCGTTTATCGACTAAGGTAAACTCGTAATAGCCTCAAGCATACGTAGTGACGAACATAACAGAATCATACAAAGGTTGAAGTGTTTTGCTCATGACATATATTTGTTTTAATTAGATATCTTATGAACAATATTTTGATCAAAAGTTTCAGCGTCTAATTACTCTGATTATTTACAAAGAGCGCATAATTTCTAAATATATTTTTATCATAAAAATGGAAAAGAACATGGAGTGAATTTTTTGAATTCAACTTCTTTGGAAAAATATTTTTTTGTTCATTTATGAGAAAGTTAAACAATCAAATTATGTTACATATTCAATTTCATGTCCACCAATAAAATTGTACTTAGTTCGAAAATGGCGTCTACAGTAAAACAAGGTAGTGTAAATAATCACACCTAGATATAAAATAAAGTATCATTTACTACACAACAAATAATGAAGGGAATATCATGTATATCATTTGGAGTAGATATTCACAATTATAATCATGGACTTCATTTAGTCAATATATCTGAATATTTAAGTAAGTTTCCACTGATCTACTGAACAAGTTAGTAGGCACAATCAATAAATTACAGTACGAAATGTTAGTTTTGTCAATAGTGACACATTATTAATATTGATATAATCAGACAAATGAACTACTTCAAATATTTCACGTAAATGACGTGAACATATTGACTGAGGTTTTAAAATTATTTGGTTTTACCACAAACAAATTATATTTGTAACCATGAAGAGAGCGATTTTTCTTGATCAAACTTAAAAGTGTATCATTAAGGGTTACAATAAGAGATGAATCAAGATTTCTGAACATGTTAGAATAGATTGAAATAAATTTCGATTATTAAGATTACTGTTCTGTAATGTTTGTTTATGTTGAGTTTGATTTGTTTTAATTACAGAAAATTATTGTCAGTTCGATGGCTCAAACTAACACATGTCTCAACCACTTAACACTTGAGGTGGTTGGGACGTGTTACGTATGCATAACCACCGACTGCCTCGACGACCTATGTTTTAAGGTGTAAATCCATGAAGTCACTGACAAGTGGACTGAGTCATGTTGGTAGATGTAAGCCAACTGGTTGGGGTCTGTGAGATGAAAATAACCGATGTCTAGAGACCTTGAATGACATGGCTGAGAATCGTTTGCAATGGCGCAAGTGCACCTACTCTTTGTGTTCTCTCAAATTCTAACCTTCTGAAGTTCTCATCATTTTTATCTTTCTCTTTCTAAAGTTATCTCACTTAATTATACTTCTCGAATCATATCTTCGCTCCCCAATCTTCTCCATTACTGCTAATACTTTTAGTATCGCTACCACTGTATGATTTGAACTGACAGTTGCATCTCTGTGCTGATGCGGTATGGCAACCTAAACTGATGTACTTATGTACGAATTTCTGCGTTCTATCTGCCTATCTGTCTGTTGGTAGCTCAATCTAGTATAGTCTAAGAGATAAACTTGACAAAAGTTTATATTATCAAACAATAATTTTACTGAGCTATAAATATGTATAGCTCCGTACACGAGAATCGAACCGAATAACTTCGGTTTGGCTCGCGAACTTTAAAATCGAATACCTATTTATCAGTCCAACAAAGAGTGTACAAAATTAACTTTACATTTTAACTCTTAATGTGTTTAATGAAGCTTAAATTTGTTTAGAATTCATACAAAATTCCACAGAATAAATTTAATCAAAAAACTTTTTTATTTTAATTTAGGTAGACCTATATTATGTTTTTTTTATACACATCAATTACAAGTTTTAAACAAATGAATATTATACATTGATAATTGATTAAAATCATGTTAACTTAAAAAAAATGACATTCCATTGAATTGAACTTATTTATATCATAAATTATTCAGACTGAAATGATGTATTCAATGCATGAATAGTTTTGAATTTTTTTAGAAAAAAATAAAGTCTCATAAATACTGGGAAAAAAATGTATATATATATATATATATATAATTTCAGACATTTTCAAATTAAAAATGTTTCGTCTCTTTTTTTTTAAAAAAAAAGAACAATAATTCCTAATAGAAAAAATCAGTTTAATTTACATTTGTTTTTAGATCACTTAAAAGCAATTCTATTCTAATGGATTTATTGTTGTGGTGTTTTGTTCTCTGAGCTGGATGTTTTGTGGTTGTGAAGCTTTCGTTTTTCTTATGAACATCGTCAGCAACAAAGTTCACATTAAAGTGAAGTATTCGAATTTCTCCATGTTTGACCTGTAGCTTGTTCTGCTAACCTCCATCTTGATTGGTTGTTTGCACCTTCGCTTCGATTGTATTCCCTTCTTGATTTGTTTCTTGATCCTATATCACCTGTGATTTTCTTGAATGGTTGATAAATTGGGTCGATGTGTTTGTTAATTGCTGATGGATTCGAGTGCCAAGCTTCTAAAAGTTCTCTGATGTTCTTTGTGCTCCCTCTATCCAGTATTTCCACATTGTTCCAATCGAATGCACGCCATAAATGTCCGCATGTATTAATATAAGTGAAGAATTATCGTGACATTTGACTGTTAATTGTTGTTCACATAAACAAAGCTGAAGAGGCCGTCCACTTTGTCCTATGTAGTGTTTTTCACAGTTTGAGCAAACCGAAACATCTCCAGCTCAGAGAATGAAACACCACAACAATCATTATCCACCTAAGCTACAAATTTTCTCCAACATCTCAAAATGGATTTATCAACGTTCAGTCTCTTTCTGTCTTTCTTTTAATTCTCTGTTTATGTCTATTTGAATAATAAACTTAAATATATATACATATATATAAATCACAATTCCAAACGGAATATGAATTTAGATGATAATCATCATCATCATCATTCGTTTGGTTTATCTAACAAAATTCATTAAAATGTATGTAAATTGACTTGATTGGAAGATAATCTGTTGTTGCATGATAGAATATCATGAATAAATTTTCTTATCAATGTTATCACGTATTTCTACAAACTCTTGAGAGAAAAAAAGGGAATAACAAAAAATTTATTATATCTCAATGCATTAGCATGCTAAGGTTTTTTCTACGCATTTTTCAAGAAATAGTTGATTTAAACTCCTCTAAGGAAGAATGAGAGTTAGTTATTTAATTACATGTAATGATAAAGAGATAATCAAGTAAGGTGCTCGTAGAATGAAATGAAATAAATATAGAAGACTGTTGATCAGTATTTTTGTGTGATTATATAAGTTGAATTCGGTATTTCTTTTAGCATTGGCATTTATATTAAAATAATAATCAGCAAAATACTTCATAATTTCACTGTTGAACAATTTGAAACATTGAAGACCTTGAAGGATCCTTGTGTACTCATTGTGGCGTCAGTCAGTCAGTCAGTCAGTTGCAACGCAGAACTTCGTACGTATGTACATAAGTTCATGTTGCTATACGACATTAGCACAGAGACACAAATGTCAAATCAAATCCTGTAGTGATAAAGATAGTAGAGGTATTAATAGTAATGAAGAGGGCTAGGGTTTGAAGATATTAATCAGAAGTATAATTCAGTGAGATAAGGTTAGAAAGACAAAGGTAGACGTGCTGACGAATCCAGAAGATTAGGATTTGAGAGAGCACAACGAATGGATGCACTTGCGCCATTGCAAACAATTCTGAGCCACGTTGTTCAACGTCTCTAACCATTGGTGAAATTCATCTCGCGGACCCAAACCAGGTAGCCTACATCTACCAACATGACTTAGTCCACTTGTCAATGAATTCATGGATTTCTGCCATGTTTCAGTTTAGCCATCCCCAGCTTTCTCCCAACCTACAGCAGTCGGTGGTTGGGCATTCGTTACACTTGTCCCGGCCACCTCAACTGATTAAGTTTCACTACTTCATCTATTGATCTGCCACCCTTACCTAGTACTTGTTGTGGCGTAACGACATATGAATAGAAATAAGACTACTGGAATTGTGAAGCTCATAGATGTTTGAATGTTTTTTTTAGTTTTGAGAGTAACTAACACATAATTTGAAATTGAAGAAAGATCATTTTCAGTATTAAATTGTTAATAAAAATTAATTTCTGCTGATTTGATTTTAATTTAAACTTCATTCAATTTGTAAATTATTATCAGTATAATAATTTTGAATAAAAATATTTTTATTCTAAAAATTTTTTATTATGATTAAATATTTTAATAAATTAAGTAATAAAGGGGAAAAATATTATACAGATTGACTGATTTATCTCGCTTTCCTATGCACCATGTTGTCATTTTTTCAGTGTATAGTGAAAAGGTAGCTTGGGAATTGTATAAACATTATTTCAAAATAATGGTCCTAAATAGATCAATTAAAGCAGGTAAGGTTGATTTTTAAATTTGTCGATAGTGGGATTATGGGAAATTGTGAAACTTTGACAGACGATAATTCGCTTGTTTTGCAAATAGATGTTTAATGATAGGATGTGAAAATTTGGCTAGTAAACTATGCCTTCTTGAAACTAATCAGTTGAGTCAACTAGTTTTACCGTCTTCTTTCATGGTAATATTACTGACTGATAAATGGGTGTAATCCATTTCTGCGGTTATTTGAGATACATCTTGACAGAGCTATCATACTAAGTGAGTGAAAATACGTAACCCCAGAAATGTGTTCACTTATTACATTGTGTTTTGTAATCAATTAGGTCTAAAAAAAATCAGTGAAATAAAATAAAATAAATTTTGTGTTGTGAACGTTTTTATCATTGCAGCACCAACTTCCATAAACCTAATATTATTAATGTGAATTCACGTACTGATCAATTCATCACCACAGTCCTCTTCCATCACAAGTTGTGATGTAAAAATGTCTGTCATAAGGAGACAACATTTTGAAACTGGATGGTAAATGAGACGAACCAAACACTGTTGCAATACACAGTCGAATGCATCACTGTTATGATATTATGTGTTTAACAAAGGCATACACCGATCTATCCTCTAATGTTGGAAATTCGGAGTTTCAATTGACCGGTGTACGAACTAATCGAAATAAAACTATACGGAAACGTGACATAAGTCACTGAAGGTTCTCACCCATGTTGGTGTATGTAATTTTTTTCAAAAAGGTTTACGTGATTATCGTCACCAAAGGTTTGAGATTTGGTGTAACCTAACTTAAAACTCATCACAGTGGGTTCGCCCTTTATGTCATCTTGAGTCCCCAATTCCAAAAATTATTTTATAGCTTTTATTCTGAGAATGAATTTTATCTTATGCAATCAGATTATTTTCGCCAGTTTTCTTTACGACCAATGATATTAGCACTTCTACAGTTGTAGTATTTAACTTCGATATTCAACGCATATACTCTAGATTTTAAGTTGCTACCTCATTCGACAATCATAATAGCACATTGGACAAAAACATGTTTTATTCAATGGAAAAAAATCTTGAAAACTATCACTGTGAATCGCTTAATCGAATTTGTAGATATAAATATGTTACACTTGTCAATAGGTATACTCAAAACTATTACGGCTTCACGTTAGTCGATAAACGAGAACGAGACAATGAACCAGCGTCTAGGTAGGCTACTCTGATCCATTGACACGAAAATACTAACGAGAAGTCTTGACATGGCGTAGGAAGTGTATTCTACAAAGCACCCGACCAGCACAATGAATCCAAGCACAAAAATCACGCTTATGTACCACAGAGACGTCCTTGGCGGAGTCACAAAATAGCACACTGAAATAACACAGTAACCAATCACAGCCAAGGATTTTCCTGGTGTGAAATATGATCTCAAGGTCAACTGATCAGCCCATGAATAAAATCCAAAATAAAGATATTTATCAAGCGAGTTCTGGGGATCTAATATCCCCAACAAAACACCATTTTTTTCTCTATGGATATTATTCCGTAAAATTCCATGAATCTCAAACGAGGAACTCCATGAGACCATATGATAGAAAAGTTCATTTTCCCTACAAAATCTTCATCAGCTCGAAACGAATACTACCAATAAATTATGTAAATGAATACACCTAAACAGTCGAATCAGTTGTCTCTACTTGCCTATATTTAACCATAAAAATGTTCCTAGTTCGTTTTTTTGTCCGATTCCTTCAATGGTATGCAATGTATTGCAGCATATTTGTAGGTGTAGACATAAATTACAGTTTTAGAAAACTTAATTCTTCAAATATTTATAATGGTCAGTATACAAAAAAAAAGTAACTCAACAGAATTCTACTCTAAGTTTAAAAACAAACATTGTTTAAACCATAATTAGCAATGTTCAAGATATATAAGATTTGTTTTCTGAGATATCATATCATATCACATACTGACAAATCTATGAAATGATAATAAACATCACTAAAGAAAATCACGCAAAAATTTACTAAAAATACAAGCAAATTATAATAAACTTACTAAGATTTTTTCGAATTCAGTACGATGGGCATTTCTTGTGGTGATTATATTTCCAACTTGACCTAAAAAAAAGGGGGCAAGAGAAAATTAATCCCACTTTGAATTGTGAGAAAGTGACAACTTCAAATATATTTGTCATAAAATAATTTGAACAGTTTTGGGGGTCCGTTCCAAAACTAAGCTGACTTTATCAATCAAAATACCTTAATTTTTCCATAGTTAATCGAATTAATAACTCTACTCTAAATTTGTACACAGAAATTTTTGTATCTGAAAAAATAAATTCAGTAATTGAAATTTTAGAATGATTGTTTTAGTGATCAAAAATGAAATATAATTTTGTATGTAAAAGTCATTAAGATCACCGAAGACTGTATCTTCTGTCAATTATATCTAGTAAGTGTCACATTTTCTCTATACAATATTCATTTAAAAATATTGTTGTGTTGCGTTTGTTTAAAAGCTTTTCATGGTAGCATGTGACTAATAATTTAGGTGATTAAATACCAAATGGGAAAAAAAATTAAGAAATATTCAAAAACAAATGTCAGATCTAATTAAGAACTAATCAAGATTTTCACTTGAAGGGTTGTATAACATGAGTTTTTGATGAGAAACCGTTTGACTAAAACAAAATAAAACAAGATGAAAAATAGCGCTAGTTGAGAGTTAACCCTGATACTGACATCACGAATTGATCTAAGTTAGATATACACCGAAAACTAGGAAGCATTGGAATCCTGTTTTATTCTGGTATGTAACTCTTATATAGAAATTATCCATGATCCAGCTGCAGGACCTTCAGTCTTGAGTGAGAATGCCTCAAATCTAGATCGCTGTAAATATGTGTACATGTTGAATATACACCAATTCACGGGATTATACAATCATCTTTCGTTGTTACTGATGGTTAATTATTTACAAGCTCTAGTTGAAAGTCATGACCGGTAGAATATAAGCATATTGTGTGCCGGATAATTATTCACTGAAGACAATGGAAGTTGGTTACGTTATATCGGAAAGTGAATGAAGTTAGATGTGTATACAGTAGGCCCCCTGTTAACTGCTCTTGACGTTAACTATTCACATGCACAACGGAGTTTCTGGGTTCGATCCTGGGTAGCGAGGCCGTGGATTCGCATTGTTGAGGACTCTCATACTAGTACAAAATAGCTGTCCAGTGCTTTCTGGTTTCTAGGTAATAGGTTAAACTTAGGTAGGTTTTCAATATCAATCACATTCAAGAATGTTCATCAATCTTTAACCTCATAAAATCATGATGTGTTTACGAAAGATTACTAAATGAAAATATAACTACAAAATATTAACATTTTTAACTTTTTTCCTCTTAATTCGAAACCGTAGTTTCATTGAAAAATTCGTTAGAAATTTAAACATGCATCAAAAACTTTGTCTGCATGAAAATAATTATATTCACAACTTCGCTCAATTTGAAGGGTACAAAAATAGTTTCTCTCCCAAATCTCCTGTGAATACATCATTAAGACTGTTATAAATAATAATAATAATAACAGTAATTATTCATAATTACTTAAAGTATCCACAAAAAACATATAACCAATTGTTGAATGTGAAACATTTCTCTATCTTAAGGTTTTTCATAACTGGATAAAGAAAAAAAAGTTGAAACTTTGGTGTGAAAACATTATTGTCTGCAATTTACCTTCAAAAATTTTACCTCTTTTTATATGTAATGTAAGGTAAAAGATTGATGATTAGAATGATAAATTGAATAAAGTCACACAAAAAAAACGATGTACTACTAGTGTAAAGAAATATAATTTGAAGAGGCTTTAAATTAATTTTTAAATATTATTCATTGAGGTGGATAGTAGTTAAAAGTGGAATCCAGGACGGGCGTTTCGTCGAATCCGGGACTTATTAGTAGTTAGAAGTACCTACATTTCAGAGTACCATTCGCATCAGACACCACCACAGCGTTGTCTACCCATCTACAGAGACCATCTCACAAGCAAGTGACTATCTGGGCTCAATAGATAAGTGGACAAAGCGACAGTGTTTAAAGTGAACGGTACTGGGTTCGAGTTATGGAGTGAATATCAACTCTGGCACTCAGGCGCATCCAGTTGACGAGCACTGAGTAGGACGAAACGTGCGTCTTGGATTCCACTACTAGCCATTATGCACCTATGTTAGTAATGCATGTAGCCTAAAGGCAATATCAAGGCAATCTACACCATATGAACTAAGGCTAAAGAGACAAATTGATTGCAGTTCTGAATATTAATGAGGAGATTCAAACAAGGAATACAAATGTTATTTTTAGAGATTTAAACAAAATAAAGACGACTTTCATTTGAGTTCTTTGAGTTACATTGACTAACTCTAAAGTTACTATTATCGCCCTGAATAAAATCCTTGACTTTTGTTTTATGTACAATGTTATCATATAAGAGTATTGAGCCGAGATATACGAGTACTTATCTAAAAGATAACAAGAATTCCTCCAAGATTTCTAGCTACACAGTGGTAATGCGTGTCCGTGACTACTATCAACGTGGGTTCAAAGGCAGGATCAAATTACAGTATGTGTCCAGTTCACTTGCACCCAACTTTTGAAGTAGCAGCCAAACCTTCAAAGCATCATCTTGATTGGCAAAATTAAATTTAAACAGGTCTTCATAACGCCGGAACTACATGTCAAAAGTAATAATGGCATCAGGATCATAATAGAATTCAACAATGCTATTTGCACTGCCGTCGACTGATGGAGCTGTGGTTGCATTAGATGAGCTGGGCTGTGTGGAAGCGTAAATCTTTATATCTGTCAATATCTGCGTCAGTTTCAGCTGCTGCTCAAGTAATAATTCAGGATCTATGTTTCCAAAACCACCATCGCCAATAGATATGCTTGAAACTATTACGATTTCACCTTAGTCGGTAAACGAGAGCGAGACAAATGATGCAATAATACCATTGTCCCATACCCCGCTTACCAGAGAAAGAAGTCTTGATAAGGAATAGAGAACGTATTCTACAAGCACCAAGAAAATATGAGGTCGATAACCACACAAATCGAGTTTATTCATATATCATAGAAACGTCCTTGGGAGAGCCACAAAAATGGCGTACTTAACACATCATTCAATGACAGTCAAAGCTTTTCCCGGTGGAAAATGTAATATCAAGGTCAATTGAATAAAATCCAAAATGAGGACCGTTAGCAAATGAGTTCTGGGGATCTAACATCCCCATCACTAACAGTTCAAACTGTGATAGATAATCTACTCAGTGTTGCCTAAATGATCTGTGGAGAAATCGATCTTCAACTATTAATCTAACCTCCCAACTTTATTATAGTAATAAAGATAACACTAATCGAATTAATCCGAATTATAGATTTTTTTTCTCAGCACTTAAAGTCTCATTCTATAACATCATTCTATCATAATTATTTTCTTCAATCAATTCCGTGAAAGTTGATTTATTCTAAGCCAAACTTATTATGAGACTTTATTGGCGACAAAAATATAATTCATTCAAATCAGGTGATCATTTAAAAACAGAAATCGTAATCATCATGAATTGCGAAACTCAGGCTTACACATTAGAAAAAAGCACGATGGAAGTGTTTGTTTGTTTTTTTTCGAAATAAAAACACTGAAATTATAATAACACAAAAAATCAATTTTTATAATGGCAATCATTATTTTTTTTTTGAAGATTATATGATGAACATATGAACAATTATTTATGTCTTTATTTCTTATTTCATAATTTCATGAATCATTTTTATTTGAATAATTGTAACAATTTTTGCCAGTAAGTATTGATTTTTGCATATAAAACATTTACATTTTACATGTTTACACTGGTAGCATATGTGTGTGTGTAGTGTTAATTATAGCGTAAAAGTATCGAACGGTTTCTTTTGGTACAGTTGATGCCGTTATCATGTTATCCAATTGTATATTTATTTAATTTACAAGAGTTTATTGATATATTTGTTATGCTCGTTCGTCTCTAGGTATGCTTAAAACTATGACGAGTTCACCTTAGTTAAATAATGAGAAGAAAACAATGAACCAACCTCCAGGTAGGCTACGCTGATCCCTTGACACGAATGTACTAGCAAGAAGTCTCGATATGGTGTAGAAAGTGTATTTTACAACATCCAGCCGGCACACAAATCGCGTTTATTTATACACCATAGAGACGTCATTGGGAGTGTCACGAAATAGCACACTAAAATGGCACAGCAACCAATCACAGCCAAGGATTCTTCTGGTGGGAAATATGATCTCAAGGTCAACCGATCAGCCCATGAAATAAATCCAAAATAAAGATATTTATCAAGCGAGTTCAGGAGATCTAACATCCCCAACAAATTTCTGTAAGCGTCTATTACAGCGTTTTGACAATTTCAATTAATGACGGAGTCTTTAGATAGAATATGATATATATATGTACAAGCTTCGAAATATAATCTTGTTTTGTGAATGTATTTGTATGTGAGTAATAACAAGATGTTCAGAGTGTTAAATTATTTCAGCTTTCTCTTTCAAAGCAAATAATCGTTGTCAATAATTATAAGGCTACTTTTTTGATACAGAAATATGACACTGAAGAGATGTGTGTATTGAATGATCCATCTATCTCTTTGTCTTTTACGATTCATTTGTTGAATTTTCTTGTAAGCAGAATACGCGCTTTCATAGATTTTATTTTCTACGTGAACTTAATGACAAAGTATGTGTTATTTGGTTGTGTAACAGCCTCAAACTGATCTACTTTTTATTTGCAAACAAGTCTCTAATTACGTTAGCTTCGGAAGCTAACAGTCAGCTCTAAATCTTTTTTGTATCACTACGCGTTAGCTTCTTTCATTCTACTATGACGCTCAGTCCTGTAATTAAGCATGTCTCTAATCTTATGTGACATGTCAATATTCACAGTAGAAATCACGAAATCATCTAAGCTAAGCAACCATTAAAATCCTTGAAGAGCTGGACAGCCGAGAATGAGTCTTCTCAGCAGTGTGTATCTATGATCACTGCTTTCTGAAATCAGCCAGAGATCCTGGGCTTGATTCCCAAATGAGTGGGTTGTGCATGAGCACTGCTGAGGAGTCACACACAGGGACAAAACGGCCGTCTACTACTCCTAGGTTTCTGATAGTGGTTGTAGTTAGTCTAGCTCACAGTGCTGCTCCCACTTGTCCACTGACATTATCACTCATTTGCTCATTTCTGCGTTGCTTTTATTCATATATGTGCAAGCCTATTTCGCTTCTTACATTTCTGACTTATTTTTGACTGACTAAAAATTATTAGTCATGCTCCATGGAATGGAGTTGACTCTCTGGCCTTCTCCACTACACATTAATTCACTTCTCCTTGCTTTGCTTGTATGCTTTTCGTTATCATGTTTGCATGAACGATTGTCTGTGTTGGGAATGTTAGATCCTCAGAACTCGCTTGATAAAAATCTTTATTTTGGATTTTATTCATGGGCTGATCAGCTGACCTTGAGATCATATTTCCCAACAGGAAAAGACTTGTCTGTGATTGATTACTGTGCTATTTTTTGACTCTCCCGAGGACGTCTCTATAGAGTATAAATAAACGCAATTTGAGTGTTTGGATTCATTGTGTGCTGACTAGGCGTTTTGTAGAATACAATTTCTACGCTATATCAAGACATCTTGCCAGTACATTTGGGTCAAGGGATCAGATTAGCCTACCTGAACACTGGTTCATTGTTTTGTTCTCGTTATTGGGGTAAGGAGAACTCTTAATCGCTTAAGCATACCTAGAGACGAGCATAACATTCTGAAATGAACTCACCTAGCCAAATCCGTATTTCGCTTCATATTACCGCCGTTACACAAACGAGGTTTGCCTAAGGATGATATACGGAAACTGATCGGGAGATTCATTTCATAGCATGCGCATTGTACCGTACGTGTTGCAGTCGGATCGCGGGTCACCAGCGCAGTGAGCCCTACATCGAATCTAATACTGCATTAAAGTCGTGATCCCAACGTTGAATTCAACACAACATAGTCTTTCTTCGATCTCTGATATCAACTATGTAAACATACAATCTCCACAATTCTCCTTCATTATTATTACATAGTTGTTTGGTAATAAATTGTTCAAGTTGATCTTTCCCTCTGCATAAAATATACATCAGCTAATATTAATCTATTTTATTTTATTTGTTAAAATTAAGCAAACTTAATTATTCCGATTGATTATGATTCAATATAAACAATTTGTATATTTATGAATGATTTTTTATATGCTAATTAAAAATCGATTACATTTTCTCCGTGTATTCTGCTAACATAACTAGAAACATTCAATCAACTGTAAATTATTCAATAGTTTATTAATTATTGAAATAAACTGAAAGATAATTGAATGTTTTCCTTATTCAATAACACTAAATACTCATCTATTTTGTAGTCGGAATTTGCGCCATTTTTTGTCGTGATCTCTGTTCGGCTGTTTACAAAGCGTGGTGGGCTGCATTGACGTTCGAGTATACTATGAAATAAATCTCTGCTTGACTTAACGTATATTATACTTAGGCGAATTTAGTTTGTGTGACGGCGGTAAGAAGAAGCCAAATACAAATTTGGATTGATGAATTTATTTCCAGCAGTCGTTCATGCAGACATACATGAGAATATAAAGAGTACAAGCGAAGTGAAGAGATGTGGAGAAGGCGGATGAATCAACCGCAAGTAATGAGGCATGACTAAGCATTTATAGTCAGACAAAAATAAGCCAGATGTGCGATAAGCGAAATGACCAGTACACACACATACTTGAATCGAAACAACCTAGAATAAAGTGAATAGTTGATCAAGTCAAAAGACGAGTGAATATATAACTCAGGTAGAATGGATCAGTTAAAATTTGTCCGAAGCCTTAGATGACAAGCTGTTCGGGCTCGACGTAAATGTACACGCACTACGAAAGTGAGCATAATATGAATAATCAATAAAAATACAGTCATACATCATTCATTTCATAACATGAAAACATTTCTGTTCAAAAGACCAATAATTATACAGAAAACTATCTTCAATAAACCACTAAGTCACTTTAACGATAACATACTGGTTATCAGTATAAAATAGCCACACTATAATAACAATAAAGATGATACAAGGTCTGTTCAGTTTGTAATGGCCAAAAAATAATCAGAACTAATGAAATGTCTACTGTTTCTTATGGATTGCCCTTTAATATTTAGAAAATTATTTATCAAACTAAAACGGAGTTCATTCAAAAAGTTATCTTCACACCTTTCTCATTATGTAATAAAAAGTTCATGATAATCAGTAGAAATTTTTGAAGGTAACTATCGTAACAGTTACAAATTTATTCTTCTAACTGCACTTACAGTCTCTTTATAAGGAACTATTGTTCTCCTTCTGATTGTATTTAAATCTCCACCATCAATGTCTAAATGTGTGTAAATATTCTCGCTTTTAAGTTGTAAGCAATGAATGTAGCGCAGAATGTAGCGCAATAGAAATAAATTCTCTTTATTTTGGTCAAATCGTTATATTCTTTTTCTATTTTCAAGTTTAAGGAAACTTTAGTAAAATCGTCCTCAATCCTTTCTAAATAAATCGTTTTCATTGAAACATTCTTCTATCAAATCGGTTTTTTATGTAAGTAAATCAATATTTATTTAGACAAACGATTACTTCTATTACGTTAGGAAAAAATATCTCAACCATGCTAAAATTAATGTTTGTTTTTTCGAAGTCCTATAAAAATTAGTCTTCTTATGTAACTTGATAGAAAAAAATTCACTTTACATCCATTTACTAGACTTAAGACTCAATTTGATTGAAAATTTACGAGAAACTATGTTTGTTTAGTTTTTAAAATGTTCATATTTTTCACCATTGTAAGACATTAACACTTTTGGATGCCAACTCAATGATGCAGAGGATAAACGTTCACGCGTAAGACACAAGACTGAGGGTTAGATTCCTGTGAGTAGAAAGAGAGTTGTGTCAGCGCACTTCTGATGAGTCACATACAAGAACGAAACGACCGTACACTGCATCCAAGTTTTTAATAGTGGTCCAACATTGATCGACTCATGATTTCAAAGTCAGTTTACACTTCACTATCTACACTTTGCTGATTTTAAAAATGTGAATAAAAACTATAACTAGTGTAGTGTCATATTTTATTACATCAGTGTTGTTACTGTTTTATTACTACATATTTTCATGATAAATTTGGTTCAATAATTCTTTGATGACATAACAATATATTTTTTAAAACCATGAATCGATCAATTTTAGACCACCATTAGAAACCTGGAAACACTGGACAGCCGTTTCGTCCTAGTATGGAACTCATCAGCAGTGCGCGTCTACGACTCCTGTACCCCGCAGGGTTCGAACCCGGGTGTAGACAGTAACTACCGAAGACTGTGTATGAGGTTGCACAACTCTGTGAATTGATCAGGTTAGACATTAACACTGTTAGATACGGGCTCAGAGGTTAGGCGTTCGCACACAATACCTAAGGTCCTAGGTTCGAATCCCGCAAGGTGCAGGAGTCGTGGATGTGCATAGCTGATGAGTCCCATACCAGGACGAAACGGCCGTCTTTCAGTGCTTCCAGATTTCTAATGGTGGTCTAACATTAATCGGTTCATGGTCTCGAAAATGTGTAACTTAACAATCTTCACAACCCCGTAATGCAAATTCGATAATACATTGTACTAACTAAAGCTCAAAATTTAAAGTACTTAATGCTAAAACTGTAGTTTAAATTTTATGGTCTAAAAGGGACTGAGTTTGATTCATAGTGAGGCAGAGGAAATGATTTTTTAGTATTCTCCAACGATCAATGATTGCCTGAACAGTCAATTCATAAAATGAAACTTCGAATTTTGCTAATCTCTACATATAAGAAGCACTTCTTCACTTGTCTAAACAAAAATAAAATATAAATGTGTACAATCTTTAAAGAGGCACTATATATTTCTGGGATAAAAAGGAATCGGCTAAGATATACATATCATATCATAAATTAAACATGCAAATCAAAAATAGAATTCTATAACAACTTACCGACAATTGTTGCAAAAATGAATACACCAATAAGGTAAGATACGATTGTAAATGTTAACCTAAAATTAATTGGAATTTAGGGAAATAAGTAGTTTATCCATCTTGAACATAAAGATATATATATATATTGATATACATACATACATACATACATAGATGCTTTGTTTTAATACAATACGGAAGTATATATTTCTCATTGAACTAATGCGAACTACCATTTATAAAATAAATAATAGATTTAAGAAGCTTGTATAGTTTAAGTAAATTATAGACTTCGAGAAATAACGAAGCACGATGCAATTGGGTGTAAGAATTTCGTAACAGCTAACATTTTCAATTACAAAAACGTTTTTAAATGACACTGGGTAAAATGTGTTCAAGTTTCAATGTCATGGTATATAAATTAATTTTTGTAAATGTATGGATAACCGTCGAGGTGAACAGAGAAAAAATCTTGAATATGTTCTTCTGATTTGACTAAACAGTGAAATAGCTTCAATACTTTAGATAATAAAATATCGATGTAACTCGACATACAACTGTAACCACTGAAGTGTTTAAATATTAAGGTGACATTAGAAGACAGTTCGACAAGACTGTGAAATAATTAAAGATCGATATATAAACTGCTGTTTAGCTGAATATCTATTTCTGAATCTTGGGAGCTTGTTGTGAGGCTGTAAAATCCTGGATTTGGTAGTCAGCAGAGTTTGAGGAAGTTCGTGATTGGGGAGTCTCATACTACAACAAAATATTAAGTATATGATTTATCCACTGATAAATTTGACCAAAGTATGAACAGTTAGCATGAATTCATTATATTTCTCTGCTTTTCATCAGCTACTGACAACCCAGACATAATGGTATTAATCGAAACAAATTATTGTCCATACTTTGTATCGTAATATTGAGAAAATTCTCATTAAGAAGAATTATAAACAGAGGATTAAGTAGGCGAGAACTAATAACAGATACCTATATTTAAAAATGGGACGCATATTTAAAAGTTGAATGGAAGAACTGCGTAACAAACATTCTTCATGAGTGAAGTGACCAAGATTGTTAAAACCGAATCTTTACGGTTGTATAAATTTTTTTTATGGCAAACTGTAGTAAATTTGACGTTGTTTGTTGATAAATTATTTTGAAGGTCATTTCGACATGCTCACAGTCAAGTGGATGGCGTGCAATCATGCAAATGAAAACGTTTAGTCTGCTTTGTATAAACTGTTGGTCAACCAAAATCAAAGTCAATATTTTCAAAACAGATGGCAAAACAGTTCTACTGTATGGAGCGGAATCTTTTAGAATAAACGATACCATTATTCACTAAATACAGGTAGTAATCAAGATACTCCGGATCCAATGATCAGACACTATCAGCAACAACCTACTGTGGGACAGAACAAACTAAATGTCATCTGAGAAAATCACCCACATGCATCACGAAGCTAGGCCTCACTTCGAATCCTCAAGGTCGAACGAGAAGTGACAGATCAAAGAACTTATTACGCCTAAAGTTGGAAGCGGTCAAGAAAATAATGAACAGTTATTGGATAGAACTGGAAAGGAAAGGTCCAGGACTGAGTAGGTTGAAGAATACTGATCGGTGGCCTATTCCTCATTAGAGGTAACAGGCGTAGGTGAGAAAGTAAGTTAAATGCCAGGATTTTGAAACGCTATTTGTTTACATAGTGTAATCTTTCTCCAACACATTCAGGTTATCCAATCGAAGGCAAGCTCTCACTTGGAATCCTCAAAGTCAAATGAAATCAGGGAAAATCAAAGAAAACATTATGACGTAAGATAGAGACAAAAACGAGAAAAATGAATAAAAAGGAGATAAAACTAGAAAGAAACGCCCAGGAGAAAGTAAGTTGAAGAAAGCTGGTCGACGGCCCATATTCCATGGAGGATACAGGCATTAAGCAAATAAGCAAGTAAGAATCGAATTTCTTGTCACATTTAATAATCTGCATTGTGACTAGAAAATATTCAGTTCACTTTAATTCCCAGTGAGATTTCATCTGGGCAACAATGGAGAGCGTAATTACATGATCCATTGTAGCATTTCTTCGAGTTTTCTTTAGTCTTCTCTTGGTATTTTGTCAAATAAACCTGTTGACTTCTGTTACAATAAGTAACAATTGTGGGAGAGATCCAACCAGATTCGAGTGGAGGAGGAAATCAGGAAGAAGTGTTGGTGGAAGTGGATAGGACACACACTAAGAAAAGCACCTAACTGCGTCACGAGACAAGCCCTCACATGGAACTCTCAAGGTGAAAGGAAAAGAGGAAGGCCAAGGAATACATTACGCCGAGAAATAGAGAAAGATATAAGAGGAATGAACAAACATTGGATAGAACTGGAAAGGGAAGCACAGGACAGAGTTGGTTGGCGAAAACTGGTGGGCGGCCTATGCTCCATTGGGGGTAACAGGCGAAAGTAAGTAAGTAAGATATTTACAAAACCATTTAACTTTTAAATTCATTTGACTACTACCACTCATGTAACCATCTTCAATATCTCTATAAAAATAAATCAATTGAAATGTTTTTCTGTGAAAATGTTTATTTTTAATCATTCTCTAAAAAAAAGCCATCTTTGTTTATTCTTGTACTTCATTTTGTTTTATCTCATTCAAAATGTAAATTTCTGTTAACAATATATGATTAATTATGTGAATAAGATTTTTTTTTAAAAAAACAAATCAAATACTTTAATAGTTAAACTACTCAATAATTAAAGTCATGAAATGAATACAATATTTCATTCAAGTATTCAATAAGTATGTAAGTTAACAATTATTGTTTTCAATGACTTTATATGTGGTCTGTTATAAAACCACAAGTAATACCTAAAGACATTTTTTCTTAATGCAAATGAATTGTAAAGGAATATTGCCTACATCTTTTTTTTTATACTTATAAAAATTTATTTGACTTCTGTTTATAAGTACTCTATGCAAAACAGATGATGATTCTTTTTTTTTCTGGCTACTAAGAGTCATTTTAAATAAAAGCACACTTAACAAACATTTAAACAAGAGATTGAACATTGGCTGCTATACATTAAAAACACGCATAGAATCGACATTTTGTCGATCGGGATCGATCGATGTAGATGTGTTTATCTTGTCACTGGTTTTTGACAGTTTTTTTTCTTTTCAGTTTGTAAACATTCAAAGAAAAGAAAAACATTTTATTATTCAAAGTTCTCCAGTTAAGTTTTCGTTGTTTTCTTAGAATCATGAAATGAAAAATAAAACAAGTTTATGTCAAAAACTATTGTCAAATAATACTTTGATCATGTGAAGAACAATAAAAGAATCACAATAGACTGTCTTAGTGTTTATGCTGTAAATAAATAAATAGTAATTATATAAATTTATACCGTTGAATAGTTTTTCGCATGAACAACTGTGGTGCGAGCTACTTATAAGTAGTATATAACGTGAGTGTCAACGTAATGTCTAGCAGCAGAAAATGGGGGAAGATCAAGAAAGAAAGAGTTAGAACACAATGGAATTTGTAAGAAACGTATGAATAGTGACAATGGATTGGTGTTTTGCAACAGGAACAGTCCAGTTCGATATGATGAACTAATATTTTGCAAATGAACGATTTACGATATGGTTTTCCTATTTTACTGAGTAACTTTGTAATTTTCGTTGATTTGACTACATTCTTATTAGACTGGAAGTTATTTGACGTTATTGTTAGTACAGTAAATTTCGAAATTGTGAAATAATGAATGACAGAAAAGTAGTAATCAGAAAGTAGATTTTTTCTTCTGTACATCGTTCTCAGGCTGCGTAACTTTGTTCGCCTACATCGTTTTAAGTTCACAGAAACTCGACTCTTCAACTTCCTAGTTGTTTGATATCTCGCTAACCAATTTTGAATAATCCTCCCTTTTCTAGATAGTAATTCGTTAGTCAGAAGAAATAAGAAATTATATTGAGTTATCGCTTTCACTATTACAGCTCTCATTGAATCGCCTAATCTTTTTCAAAAGATCAAAATTCAATACCTCTTTATCACATCTTCATAATTTCATGAATGTATCAAGAATATTTCGGAAAAACGTGAATTACCTTCACAGTAATTACGCATTATGATATATAATGATCAACTGAATATCAAATTTAAATGTGACTCCACCTGGAGTCCCCTCTGGGGTTACTTCCGGTCCCAAGCACAGATAAATGAGGAGGGTTAAGCACGAGGTTAGCGAACCCATCCCGTACAAAACTAACTCACTATAAAAAACCAGAAACTGGTTTCTTTGAAAATCAGGTTCCAGGTTCGAATCCTGCGAGATGCAGGAGTCGTGGTTGTGCACTGCTGATGACTCACATACCAGGACGAAACGGCCGTCCAGTGCTTCCAGGTTTCAAATGGTGGTCTAACAATGATTGACTGACAGTTTCAAATATGTAAAAAACACCAATCTCCATTACTCTTATTGAAAATTTCAATAAATGTTGTCTTTTATTCTCCAACTATTTAGAAATATTATTAGCTTTACGGTTTTGATTTTTAAAAAAATTTCATCATTGTGGATTGTTTTTATGTCTTGCTAGCTTCTTAACAATTAATATTTTACAATCAATACTCCATTTTATCAACATGTCCACTGAATGTAAAAGATTTATTTCTGGTCTTTTATGATAAATTGTTCATATAAACTGTGATAGGATAACTGGTAAAAAATCGCTAAACATTTAAAAACCAGAAGCACTAAACAATAGTTCTATCCTAGTTTCTGACTTCTCATCTCCTGTGCTAACTAAAGATTATCAAGTATCAAACTATGCATTTTCCTGATCTTTGGTCATGCAATGACCAATTCAGTTGATGTGCGATATTTTCATGAACCATCATTGATTGTTATCACTTATTAACTGTTTTTTCCTGTCGATACGGTTGAAATCAAACGGTTTAATAACTGTCATCAAGCTAAATTTAGTGGTGTAAGATATTTTTAAATGTAATCCTATCTGAAATTCTCTTTTCACAGTAACGTGAATAACAAATAATCAACGAAGGTATATTTTTACTACGTCAACAATGTGACAAACCAAAATGATAAACTAACACTGACGTTTCATGACAACAGAATAACAGCAATCAATCAATAATCAGTCAATATTTTAATCTAAAACACCACCTAAGCTGTGTTTATATTTTAACAAAGAACAATACACAACAATAGTGAATTTTCCTATCAACACAACACATTGGACAGTTGATCATATCAATGTAACACTGTATTCATTATTCAGTCAAATAGTGTGTTATACTCAAAAAAAAGAAAGGAGAATAAGCTAAAGGAAGTGAGCAAAAAATACGCAGAGAAAATATGATGTACGTATATTATCTAAATTAACATTTCGTGCAACCAACTTCCAGTGTTTGAAAAAAATAAAATATTATTTCTAAACAAAATCCTGTCTTTCATTATTTCAATAACAGCAATAATAACAACAATAATAATAATAAAAATGTCACTGCAATGCTTGCGTATCTTTTACGTGCAAATTAGAACACACAATGTGCGTTTATGATTAGATTAGTACAGAAACACGACATTCACGTTTATAAATATATATATATATATATATATATACATAAATTGAACAGTATACATTACGGACAAACAACACAATACACGGTAACATGCAATATTGTACCATTGAACAAAACTTCAAATGTCTATACGAATAAATTGTTCTTAAAAAAATACTAGATAACTTTCTGCTATCAAAATTTATCATACCATAAATTGGAAACTGAACCATTCTGTCCACGAACGCTGTAGGAATAATGAAAATTAAATTATATATATCTTTTAACAAAAAATATATAAGTTGTATAAAAGAAAATTAAATATTGTGTATAAGAAATTTTTAATTTATTCAAATGTGAAGTAATTTCAATTGTGTAGCGTTTTGTTTTTGTTTTAATTGTTTTTGTTTTAATTAACGATTATTATGATAATTTGATGTAAATCATATTTTTGGCAAATTCATAAAAATGATTCGGTTAATTAGTGGATGGTTGATGAAAATTTGTTTACAAATAAAACTGAATAAAATAACTGAGTAATTGATTACAATTAGTGGGATTAATATTCTGTTTTAGAAATGGTAATTTACTTAAGAAATCAAATGAACGCCTAGAAATTAGTGAGCAAAAAAACACTTGGAGCATACATGTAATTCAGTTATTATGTAACAGAAATTAATTACGATTGAAAGTGTGTGCTTTAGGCATTAAGGTCTGCTTTTATACAAATGACCTAAAATGTATCTATCCTGTTAAATTCATATTATCTTTTTGATAAATTATATCAAAGACAATGATCTTTGTTCTTTGCCAGCAATTGACAGAACGTAAATCAAATCTACAAATGAAAAGGTAAACATCATCTGTCTCTGTTTTCAAATTGATTTTCGTTCGTCGAAAATATAACCACTAGAATTTGAAGGACATCAAAGCTACTCTGAGTAACTTCAATGTCATCTGGTAAATAAATACACGAACCTTATTTTGTGCAATCTGTGGTATATTAAACTCATCCTCTTGAACATATGGTCTGATTGAAACGGTGTGCCTGTATAATCTTCAATCCCTGTTGAACTAAACAGCATTATAAGCCTTCTAAAGCCAGGTTATTTTAGTAATCTCATACTTTCAAGTTAAATCGTCTCTATACTGTCTTAATACCACTTACAACATGGTTATTCATTTCATTTTGATAATGCAGAGAAATCTTACAGAATATTCCAAATAACCGTGTTGTATTATCGCTTTGCAAAAATCATACAATAGTACCACAAAAATTTGTTTTTAGTTCATATTCGGCTTTCCGTTGGTTGCTTTTGATGTTCTCCGAGAAATAATACACTTGGTCACTTTTTAACTAAAAAAAATTTACATTGGTTTTAAAATAATCCATGATTAACTAACACCGTAAAAATTTCTATACATTTAATTGTAATGACCTCATGTATGTAACTAAAATCAAAACACAAGTTATACTCTATAGCGTTAAAAAATTGATCATTGGTGAAAATCGTTCTTGAATAAAATCAGCCATGTTTTTAAGTATGTAATTTGAAGCAGAGCTAAACTAAAACACTTCTTCTCTTCTTTAAATTAAATGGGTGAAGTTACGATGACTTAACCATTGTCTTCTAGAAAGGGCAAGCTGGTTAAAGCTATTTATTCACAGACAGATTGGTAGCATCTGTAATGTATGGTGGAAACACAAAGTAAGTAATACTGAGGTTTGACAAAGAGTACTAGGTATTAATGGCAAGTCGAGTGATGATGATAGGATTCGTTGTCGATTAAAAAAGGTTAAAATATGCTTCACATAGCCCACAACCATTATCTACCATGAAACTTAATATTAAAAGGCACAAGTTTACATTGGAAGATAGTCGTAATCAGTCAAACCAAGACTTTACATTAGTTCATTAAGTAAATTATTGTTGGTTTGTATTGAAATGTTTGTATTGCAATTTATGACTTATCTGCTATGTATCCTGTTAATCTTTTCGTTTGTGTACTGAATTGGGATAAGGTGTTATGCTGCTGCACATATGTACCAAGTCCATTATCTTCTAGAATTGCACCGATAAATCTACAAAACACTGTATCCCTAATTCATATTAGATGAGAACGTAATCCGGATTCTAAGTAAAAACTATTAACAGTTAGGCAAACAATGAAACTAGTAAAATATAGTTGGAAATCACTATCCCGATCCATTAAAAAACTCCCTAGAAATTATCCTTTGAGAGAATTCTATGAGTTGAACTCGGGCTCAGTTTCATCTGTCTAATTAAGTTTTGGATACGCACTACTAAGAAGTCACATACTAGAATGAAATAACTGTCTAATTCTCCCTGGTTTATTAGGCACCAAAGTCTATTTCTCAACAAATGCCAGCGAAAAATATTAAAAATTATTATCAAGTTCAGAAATTCATAGTTGGTAATCGTCCTTAGACTGGAAAAAATCAATGTTCGCTGAGGAGAAAAATTCTATGTACTCATAGTATGAACACTGTCTATAAAATAAAATAGGATAACCAAAAATTGTCATTATCCAGTCTTTTTCACTACTGTAGCTTTCCGATTACAATAGAGAAATTAGTTTTATTCACAACACAATCAAGAATAGAGCATAGTTAGCGAATCTAAAATTAAGACCAAAGTTATCTGAATTAGTCATCTAACTTAATTATTAGGGTGACAGGTAATCCTTGTTTTGTTTTGCATGAAAAATTTACAAGACGATCGAACTCAGGATCTTCAAACTGTGCACGGATGTGGTACGTTCGAGTTACAAATACAATAAACCATATTTCAAACCAAACTTCAAATCAATCACTTTCCAACCTTATCACAGATAGCTGATTCACTTCTTTTGGATTCATCAATAAAACGTACAGGTTACTTCTAGAAAATTTAAATTCTTATATCACAATCCTAAATATTATTGCCTTAGTTGACATACTCATAACAGTTTAGTGTAGCAGAAATCAATAAACACACAGAAGCAATCTCAAAACATTATTGATTGATTTTTTTTAATCGGAGAAACATGTGAAATAATTTGGATAAAAATTATTCACCATTTCAATTCACTGATTTTCTTTACAATGGAATGTAACGTCATTAGAAAAATAGTTTTCATTAGAGATTTTTTGTCAAACTACATCAATTAACAATTGTGAATAGTAGTATTCTAATTAAAACATTGGTGTAAGAGAATTAATTATGCACGCAAATAGATTAAATTTTTTTTATTTACTTAAATTAAGAACTCAATTATGCATATTTTTTATATTCGATGTGTATATGAATGATTAAAATGTATTTTAGTATAATAATCTGTAAGATTTGTGTTAGAGAAAAGTTATTGGCTTTAGGAAGAACAAAGGGATAGAATACGCTCAACAAGAATGTTCTGTCACTGGAGACAGTACTGTACGAGCTTCCATATGTAGGATAAATAGTGTCGTAATATGTGTATCTGCCCTGTATGCACAAATAAGTGACGGTTGTGCAATATTGTGAACTGATTGAAATTGGGGAACGTGTACTATTGAACAACAACTAAAGGAATCTAGCAGTGAAGCCTTTGTCAATAATCACTGATGAGAGTGTGTGTGTGCGTATGTATGAGTTTTGTGCACGGACAAATAGCTATTTAATACTCCCCGATTGCCATTCGTACTCCAAAAGAAATCAATCTGTCACAAATACCGCCTACAAACGATTACCAGTAATTTCTTTTCTTTTTCAATTTGAGTTATGGAGCTTAGTGTTTTTTTACACATTTGAAATCATTAATCAATCATTGTTAGACCACCATTGGAAACCCTAATGGGTGGTCTAACAACGATTGATTAATGATTTCAAATGTGTAAAAACCACTAGTCTCCATAACTCAAATTGAAAAAATCGTAAAATGTGCTCACTAGTGATTAGCTTTGTGATGAAATTCTCCATGTTCTAGTTAGAAGACGTGACCAGTAGAGTTCAACCATGTCGGGTGTAGGCAGTAACTACCAAAGGCAAACAGGTGAAGTTGCGCAAAAATCAGTCAGAGTTAGAAAATAACACCGTAGGACACCGACCGAGTGGTTCAGAGGTTAGGCATTCGCGTGCAAGACCTAATGTCCCAGTTTCAAATCATGCGAGGTGTAGGATTCGCGGCTGCGCACTGCTTATAAGTCCCATACCAGGATGAAACGGCAGTTCACTGATTCCAGGTTTCTAATGCTGTGCTCTATCAATGATTGGTTGATGACTTCAAATGTGTAAACAATTTCGTTTTTAAAACAATTTTTGAATACACTGATTTAAAATTATCTGACCCAATTGAAAAGTCTATACTGTATATGACGAGCTGTTTAGAAACTAGGAATAATTAAATCTATCCGTGTTGGATATCACCATTTCAAAAATAGTACTTGAATAACATGAATGTCTTTATCTCTAACAAACTGAATTTTGTGATTTGTATTATGCTGATAAAGCTCTGAAATGACGAAACTATTATGTATCTATTGATAACCCACTGAGTTATTGATTATGAAGATTTAACCTGTAGTGTTAATTACAATTTAACAATGTTACAAGTCATTTTTTTCTATTTTATCATCATAAGAAAAATACCAAATAACTAAAAATATGGTGAACTGTGTTTCGTTCCCTCTTATGATAACAGCAGCTGTGTTATTAATTATTTAGATTAAATTAGATTAAATTTATTAATAAATAAAAAAGAAAAATACATTTTCACTCATCATGATAGTAGAAATTTTTATTACACACGTTAAACTATGCGTATACTAGAAAATAGAACTCTAATTATTGGTGTGTGCTAATTTTTTTAAATGGTTGAAATCGTTTAACAGATTGCAATGACCTGATATTAAGTAGTTGATTGCTAGGAAATGGTAATTTAGAACAACATATATAAGCGAACAATACTGTTTCGATTAGATCATCATCAGGCTCTACTCTCTAATATACATGAATATTTATATATGAAAATGTTAAACCGATCAAGGCAATTTGAGCGATAATCACAATGAAATGAAAAAGATTACGTAACTACATATAATAGGCAAAAGTACAAGTGGATAGTAGGAAGACAGGTGTACTGATAGTAGTAAGAAAATTATAAACTAAAGTCTCTATCAATAGTAGGTCAAACGTAGATGAATAGACTTCAAATAATCATTAAAAACACCAAAACCATTACCTAATAAGCAAATGTGTAAGAATAAAA